CTGTCTCAAAAAAAAAAAACAAACCAGAAAAAAATCCATCCAGCACTTGGCTCTTAGCCAGCACAGTAAACATTGGCTTTTGCTTCTCACTCTTGAAATTCTTTCTTGAAATTTCTTGAGCAAGACCTTCCTGGACTTCCAGACTCTGTGGCCTATGGCTATGTCCCTGCCACCCCAGTCAAACCCTCCTCACTCACTTTGAATGATTTACTTCTGGCAAACTCCAGGAGGGCAGGGACCTTTTGTTGATTGGCCAGACAGGGCCCAGCACATAGTAGGTGCTTGGGAAATCCTTGAGTTATGAATGCACCCAGAGCCAAAATGCTGAAATGAACTAGGGAGTCATGGGCCTGCAGCTGGAAAAGTGCTAGGTCACCACTCACACCATGCGATGGCCCTGCTGAGCCACCGTGCCCGGCCCTGTGTTTTCTTTTTTTTTTCTTTTTGAGATGGAGTCTTGCTCTGTCACCCAGGCTGGAGTGCAGTGGTGCCATCTCAGCTCACTGCAACCTCCGCCTCCCAGGTTCAAGCAATTCTTCTGCTTCAGCCTCCCAAGTAGCTGTGCTTACAGGTGTGCACCACCACACCCAGCTAATTTTTGTATTTTTAGTAGAGATGGGTTTTCACCAAGTTGGTCAGGCTGGTCTTGAACTCCTGACCTTGTGATTCGTCTGCCTCGGCCTCCCAAAGTGCTGGGATGACGGGCGTGAGCCACCGCGCCCGGCCGGTACTTTGGTTTTTCAGCAACTCAGGGAAATGATGAAACAAACAAAAACAACAACAACCCCAAGATCGTATCCCCACCTCGGGTTTTTTCACGCTTCTAAATATACCCAACAACTTGGCAGGCACACCAGGTGACCCAGAACTTCCTTTTTGTGTTGCTTGAAATGACAGGAACAAGAATAAAGAATTTAAAAGTGAGAAACAGCAGCAGAGAGTGTGGCTTTAAAAATAGCCAGAGGGGACATTTGATGTTCTCTCCCCACTCCCGTCTCCCCCAACACACATCCATAAAGTGATTCTCTCCCCCTAAAACCTCACACTTTCTGGAAATCACAGTCCAGAGCAGTGAACAGTCATTTTAAAATAAGAATCCACCCATCTCCCTGCCCCAGCTGGTGTTTCCAACTCCAAGCCTTGGCTTTGGAACTCATGGGGTGATGAGGACCCCCCAACTAGAGGCGACAGGCATTCCCTGCCCTAACCCCAGAGCAGGAGGTCATAATTAAGGCAGGCCAGGTGTGCGGTGACACCCTGTAATCCCAGCACTTTGGGAGACCCAGATGGGCAGATTGCTTGAGGTCAGGAGACCAGCCTGGCCAACATGGCAAAACCCCATCTCTCCTAAAAATACAAAAGTTAGCCAGGTGTGGTGTCGGGCGCTTGTAATCTCAGCTACGTGAGAGGCTGAGGCACGAGAATCGCTTGAACCCAGGAGGCAGAGGTTGCAGTACAGCCTGGGTGACAGAGCAAGACTCCAACTCAAAACAAACTTAAAATAAAGATAAAATAAGAATCCACCCCCCTCCCCGCCCCAGTTGGTGTTTCAAACCCCAAGCCTTGGCCCTGGAATTCATGGGGTGATGAGGACGCCCCAGCCAGAGGTGCCAGGCATTTCCTGCCCCAACCCCAGAGCAGGAGGCCATAATTAAGGCAGGCCAGCCAGGGGCTTTTTTGGTCCTGGCCATGGATGAGCACATTCAGCACGCAGAAGGGAAAGGGTTTGTATGAGGCCCACAGAGGGAACAGGGAATGTGCAGGTTTGGGTTCAAGTCCTAGTTTTGCTGGATAGCCGCGTGCCCCTGGGCAAGTTTATTCCTCTGAGGCTCAGTTTTCCCATCTGTAAGATGGGCATAGAAGTGGTCACTATCAACCAGGCACGGTTGCTCACGCCTATAATCCCAGCACTTAGGGAGCCCAAGACAGGTGGGTCACCTGAGGCCAGGAGTTTGAAACCAGCCTGGCCAACATGGTGAAACCCCATCTCTACTAAGAACACAAAAGTTAGCTGGGCCTGGTGGTGGGTGCCTGTAGTCCCCGCTACTTGGGAGGCTGAGGCAGGAGAATCACTTGAACCTGGGATGTCGAGGTTGTGGTGAGCCAAGATCATGCCATTGCACTCCAGCCTGGGCAATAAGAGCCAAAATAAATAAATGAATAAATAAAAGGGGGGCTTGGGAGGAAGGAGGAAAGGAAAGAGGACAAAGAGGGTCACAGCTGATCTGCTCCCTCCCCACCGTCCCATCTCTGCTAGCGTCAGCCCCATCTTTTCAGGCTCAGGCCAAACCCCTCAGTGACCCCCCCAGTTCCTCCACAGTCACCCGTGAATCAGATCTCACAGGAAGCCTTGTCAGCTCCACCTCCAGAACCGCTCCAGAATCTGAACTCTTCACCCACACTGCCCCCACCCTGCTGCAGCCCCTTTCCCCTATCATCTGGACACCGTAGAGCCTCCTCCCTGGCCTCCCTGCCCCCACAATCATATCCCAAGAAGGGGATTTGACTCTCTCACTTAACCAGCAATTCTGGAGGGTCTTCAAACCTGGCTGTGGCAGGGGATTTAAAGGATGGGGACCGGCACGGTGGCTCATGCTGGTTCCCCACTCGCAGCCAAAGGGAGCTGGTGAGTCAGATCAGGGCCCTGGTCTGGCTGCACCTCACTCCAGGCACCAGCAAAGCCCTGACTTTTTTTTTTTTTCTTGAGATGGAGTCTCACTCTTGTTGCCCAGGCTGGAGCGCAATAGCACCATTCCGCTCACCGCAACCTCTGCCTCCCAGGTTCAAGCGATTCTCCTGCCTCAGCCTCCTGAGTAGCTGGGATTACAGGTGTGCGCCACCATGCCCGGCCTTGGGGGTTTCTCCACGTTGGTCAGGTTGGTCTTGAACTCTTGACCTCAGGTGATCCACCCGACTCATCCACCCGACTCAGCCTCCCAAAATGCTGGGATTGGAGGCATAAGCCACCAACCCAGGCCAGATGTTGCTCTATTTCTGGCTCCCACCTCATCTCCCCCTCCCTGGCTCACTCTGCTCTGGCCTCCTGCTGTTCCTAAAGCACTTCCTCCCCATCCCCCGCACCAGCTGTGGGATCTTTGCACCTGCAAGTCCCTGTGCCGCCCTGCCCCTCTCTCACACACCTGACACTGTCTCACCTCCTGCAGGTCTCTGTTCCTGCACCACCTTCCCAGGGACACTCTCCTGGCACTGACTGAAAAGTGCAACCTCACCCGCCCCCCATGCCGGCACTCCCCTCCCTCGGTGGCATTTTATTTTTCTCCGTGGCCCTTTCCTATCTTGTGACACACAATATATCCCACTTATTTGTCCCGTTCATGATCTGTCTCACCTACTGGGCTTTGAGCTCCACAGGGGTCGGGGTTTTTGTCTGATTCGTTCATTGCAGTGGTGATTTGGTCATTGCCTAAAATAGACCTGGCAGGTACAAAGTGTTCATTAAATAGAAATCAATACCCGAGGGGCTGTGACCTGACTTAGATGCTAACAGGTTCCTCTGACGCGTGCGGGGAGCAGACTGAGGTTCTCACCGCAAACCGCCCCCAATCAGCCCCAGACATGAACGGTCTCCTGGAGCTCCCTCTAACCTTCCCTTGTATCCCGGTCCTACCTCATGTCACAGTTTGTAATGATGTGTTTGGCTGGGTGACATTTTTATGGCCATCTGTCTCCCTATCCCCCATAATGTGGTTTGCTGAAAGCAAAGCCCAGGGCTTTCTCGGTCATCTCTGTGACTCCAGCATCACCCCTCACTGGGCATGGAGTCTATGTCCAGTTAACGCTTGCTGAGTGAATGAATGAATACTCCATCCTCTGCTTGGAGAATTATGCTCTTTAGCATATTCAAGGCTCTGACAAGTCCTGAAGAAAAAAATCATTTTTCCTCCCTCCCTCCTTCCCTTCCTTCTCCTCCTTCCTTCCCTCCCTCTCTTTCTTTCTTTCTCTGTCTCCTTCTTTCCTTCCTTCTTCCTTCCCTTCTCCTCCTCCTTATCCTTGCTTTCTTGCTCTCTCTCTTTCCTTCCCTTCCTTCTTCCCTCCCTCCCTCCTTTCCTTCCCTCCCTCCCTCCCTCCCTTCCTTCCTCCTTTCTTTCTGACTATAGGATATCAATTAGCAAGCTGGCAGTAGTCAAGATTGGCAATCTGGTGTCTTAGTCAAGGGTCTTCAGTCTACAAGAGACAAAAGTTAAAAACAAACTGGTTAAAAACAAAAGGGGACATGATGAGCTCACTTAACTCACAATCACAGAGGTTCTTTAAGCCTGGCTGCATCAAGGGGCTTTAAAATGTTATCAGATGGGGGCCAGGCGAGGTGGTTCACACCTGTAATCCCAGAAATTTGAGAGGCTGAGGCGGGTGGATCACCTGAGGTCAGGAGTTCGAGACCAGCCTGATCAACATGGAGAAACCCCTGTCTCTACTAAAAAGACAAAAAATTAGCCAGGCGTGGTGGTGGATGCCTGTAATCCCAGCTACTTTGGGAGGCTGTGGCAGGAGGATCGCTTCAACCCAGGATGCGGAGATTGCCGTGAGCCGAGATCGGGCCATTGCACTCCAGTCTGGACAGCAGTGAGACTCTGTCTCAAAAATAAATAAATAAATAAATATAAAAATAAATACACGTTTTTAAAAATAGAAACCTCTCTGGAAGGAGAGTTAATCTGTTTGCTATAATAGCAATAATACTGCATATAGCTATGGTAAAGTTCATACGAAGAAACCAGGCTACGATGTACAGACTGGCAATACATGTGTTCTTCTATTTTTCCTACGCTGTCTCTGTGCACATAAAGTGAGAGGTCTTTTTGTATGAGTTAAGAGTGCGGCCAAAGACAAATGGAAAAGACGGAATGACAAAAGTGCTAATAAACAGCTTCAGAAAATAAACAGCTCCACAAAAAATCAAATGAAGAAATGTTATCAGGAATCTCTTGGCTCTCCTCCGTGTTAGCTTACTTTTTCCCTTAGAGGGTGAGCATGACCCTTGACAGATCCACCCTCATGTGCTGGATTCTCTTGGGAACTTGGTTAAACCTTTTTTTTTTCCTTCCCAAATGTCCAAGTCACCTTCCAGACCTGCAGCTCCTGAGCAGCTGGCTTAGGGTTCCTAGTGGAGAGCGAAGGTCCCCTGGTTGCCTGAGCGTCCGGCCACTGCCCCAAGGCTGCTGTTCACTGGTCCAACCTGAGTCCTTGAGGCTGGCAGAGTACCATGGCACACGCCTGTAGTCCCAGCATTTGAGGAGGCTGAGGCGGGAGGATCGCTTGAGCCCAGGAGTTTGAGACCAGCCTGGGCCACATGGCAAGACCCGCCTCTACAAAAAAAAAAAAAAATTCAAAAATTAGCCAGGTGTGGTGGTGCAAGCCTGTGGTCCCAGCTACTCGGGAGGCTGAGGGGGGAGGATTGCTTGAGTCTGGGAGGTCAAAGCTGCAGTGTGCCGAGATCACACCACTGCACTCCAGCCTGGGCAACAGAGTGAGACCCTGTCTTTAAAAAAATAAAATAAAAGGCCAGGCGTGGTGGCTTACGCCTGTAATCTCAGCACTTTGAGAGGCCGAGGCAGGTGGATCGTGACGTCAGGAGTTGGACACCGGCCTGGCCAACATGGTGAAACCCCGTCTCTACTAAAGATACAAAAATTAGCTGGGTATGGTGGTACGCTCCTGTAATCCCAGCTACTCGGGAGGCTGAGGCAGAAGAAACGCTTGAACCCAGGAGCCAAAGGTTGCAGTGAGCCAAGATCGTGCCATTGCACTCCAGCCTGGGCTACAGGGTGAGGCTACGTCTCAAAAAAGACAAAAAAAAAGGCCTTGAGTCATGATTCCAGGTGCAATCACAGATGTGGGGGTTGCAGCCCTCTGACAGGCTGGGGTTCAGGTCTAAACCTTGGCTGCAGCACAGGCCAGGAGGGGCTCTGGTGGGAGAGGCTTGCGGGGAGCCTTGCTGTGGGACCCAGGCCCCCCGGGCCCTGTCACCCTGCAGTGCAGGTCAGCCCGGCGGACGCTCGGCTCACGGTCTTTGACAAGACAGAAGGGACGTGGCGGCTGCTGTGCTCCTCACGCTCCAACGCCAGGGTGGCCGGGCTCAGCTGCGAGGAGATGGGCTTCCTCAGGTACTGGGGGCACTTGGAGGGGTGGGAGCCGGGAGGGGCGGGGGAGCAGGCCTGACCCCTGCCCCGCCCAGGGCACTGGCCCACTCCGAGCTGGATGTGCGAACGGCGGGCGCCAACGGCACCTCGGGCTTCTTCTGCGTGGACGAGGGGAGGCTGCCCCACACCCAGAGGCTGCTGGAGGTCATCTCCGTGTGGTGAGGGGGACAGCGGGCAGGTGGGGCAACACCCTGGGCCCCCAAGGCACTCCCTCTCCCCATTTTTCTTCCCTCCGTCTTAATTGGTCTCTTTCCTTTCTTTCTGTGTCTCCATCTCTGCCTCTCCCAGTGACTGTCCCAGGGGCCGTTTCTTGACCACCATCTGCCAAGGTGAGACCCCAAAACTCAGAACCCTCTCCTTTAAACCCTTGGGGAGGCCACGTCCCCTCAAGCGCCCAGGGTGGAGCCGTGTCCTTTCAGACCCCCTAGGTCAGGGCCAAGCCTGGGTTCTGGGGGCCTGGACTCCAGCCCCCTGTTGCCGCCCCGGCTGCCCCCTGTCCCACAGACTGTGGCCGCAGGAAGCTGCCGGTGGACCGCATCGTGGGAGGCCAGGACACCAGCCTGGGCCGGTGGCCGTGGCAAGTCAGTCTTCGCTATGATGGAGCACACCTCTGTGGGGGGTCCCTGCTCTCCGGGGACTGGGTGCTGACAGCTGCCCACTGCTTCCCAGAGTGAGTGCCCCCCACGGCGCTGATGAAGGAGAGGCAGAGGAGTGGAGAGGTGGTGGGGAGGGGGGTGGATGGTGCCCAGGCAGGCCGCTACCCTCCACCCCTTTCCCTGGTAGGCGGAATCGGGTCCTGTCCCGATGGCGAGTGTTTGCCGGTGCTGTGGCCCAGGCCTCTCCCCATGGCCTGCAGCTGGGGGTGCAGGCTGTGATCTACCACGGGGGCTATCTTCCCTTTCGGGACCCCAACAGCGAAGAGAACAGCAACGACATTGCCCTGGTCCACCTCTCCAGTCCCCTGCCCCTCACGGGTAAGTCTGAGGCCAGGAGGACAGAGGAGGGGACCAGGGGCACAGGGGAATCAACTTACGGTTCAGGCATCCCTGGCAATAGTGGGGAATGATCTTGAGGGAGCAACAGTGCGCCTTAACTATCAATGATCAGTGCAGCCGGTCGGGAAAACTGGCCGGCATTTCCCCAAGAAGCAAACATCAGGTTACCAATGGACTCAACACTTCCACTCCTAGGGTGGGGGGTAACTAACATACCCCAGACAGATGAAAAGTGCGTACGCACCAAAGCTCGTATGTCAGTGTTCATAGCAGCATTATTCATAAGGGCCCAAAGATGGAAGCAGCCTAAGTGTGTTCCATTGGACAAATGGATTAAGAAAATGTGGGATATTGGCCGGGTGCGGTGGCTCATGCCTGTAATCCCCGAACTTTGGGAGACCGAGGCTGGGGGTCCTCTTACCGCCATGGTTAAGAACATGGCGAGGCACAGTGGCTCACACCTGTAATACCAGTGCTTTGGGAGGCTGAGGCAGGAGGACTGCTTGAGCCTAGGAGGTCAAGGCTGCAGTGAACCATGCTCCTGCCACTGCACTCTGGCCTGGGTGACACTGCAGGCTTGGAAAGGGAAACAAGCTGTATTAAACAGACTTGTTTGAAACTTTGGGCATGTGACTTGACCTCTTTTTTTTTTTGAAAGGGAGTTTCATTCTTGTTACCCAGGCTGGTGTGCAATGGCGCGATCTCGGCTCACCGCAACCTCCGCCTCCTGGGTTCAGGCAATTCTCCTGCCTCAGCCTCCTGAGTAGCTGGGATTACAGGCACGCGCCACCATGCCCAGCCAATGTTTTGTATTTTTAGTAGAGACAGGGTTTCACCATGTTGACCAGGATGGTCTGGATCTCTTGACCTCGTGATCCACCCACCTCGGCCTCCCAAAGTGCTAGGATTATAGGTGTGAGCCACCGTGCCCGGCCATGACTTGACCTCTTTTCCCCCTCTGTAAAATGGGATAATATAGACCTTACCTCTCTGGGCTGATGGAATATTAAAGAAAATGGTGCAGGAAAGTGCCTAGCACGCAGTGAGCTCTTGGTAGATGGAGACTTCTGCTGTGGTGTTTTGTTGGTGGTGGTG